AACTTCAAAACAGAGTTGAAACAGTTATTTCATGGGCATCTTATGAAACTCGTTTCTCGGATATCCTCCAGGATCTCTCTTGGAAAATATTGAAGAAAGACATCAGAAACTAAGTCTATTCTAATGTTAAAAGTAATAAATAACTTCACTGCTCCCAAACGCGTTCATTATTCGAATGAATGATATTCAAAATAACTATCAATTACGAAATTGGGAAACTGATTTTATTATCCCTAAACCTACGAGCGAATATCTTAAAAAAAACTTTTAAGTATAGTGGAGCAGTAACATGGAATTCGTTCTCTACAGATGCAAAGCTATTAACTACTTTAAGTGTCTTTAGTGCCTTCCGATGCCAATGCCCCCCCTCTAGTGTAATTTATAATCTTTCTGTTTCTGGTCAAGTCTAAATATATCGACTTATAGCATCTTAGTACATTTTTATTTAGAAATGTAATCTCCCTTGCAGAACCAAACTATTATCTGGGATCCTCCACCTCTGCAGAAAAAAAATTTTCGAATTGCGCCGCGGTGTTTAGTAGAGAAGCTTTAATTGCCGCCATATTGGCGTCACTCATTATTAGCCTATTTATTAGGCAAAATCACTGGAGCTATAGCGTGTCTAGAGCCTGTCAATTTTAGACAGGAACGCCAACTGAAGATTTCTCTCGCTCGTTTCCCTTGTTTAAACGCCGTCCTTAATTTAGGACACATTAAGACATTCGTTCCAATTAATCAATTTTTATTTCTTTTGACTCTTGTCGCAGGCATGGGACTCGTTCACCACGTTTTTCGCAAATATAAAACACAAAGTGCCTTGGAATGCGTCCAAAACTGCTTGGCTGAGCACCAAAGATGTGAATCTGTGAATTTCTTTGAAATGAAACAATCTGGTTTCGTAAATTGTGAACTGAACAATGCCACAAAGTCAAAACAACCCAGCAAATTTGAACCATTGGAAAACGTGAAGTATTACGAAATGGTTAACCTGGTACGCCAATGTCCAGTACTTATTACAAAACTATAAATAATTAATTTTAGTCTATAAAATCGTGGGAGCGGGGGGGGGGCTACACCACTTAAATCAGCTAGTGGAAGCAAACCATACAATTCTCTTCGTTTTAGTTCTTTATTCCTACTTTTAAACAAAGAATTTATATCGTTTGATTGCAGAAACAATCCACAGAGAAACAAGATTCAAATAAGAAAGATTTTTCAGCGCTAAATGGTACGTTAAATCAATATTCGATATATCCATATAACACAATTCAGCAGAATTTTAAACCATTATTGGATGAGGCCGAGCAGCATATCCAGAATAACTGATGCCGAGGTCAAAGTATGTCCGCTAGCAAAAAAGCGTGGGCACGGACAGATAACACTATGTCCGCTGAAAAATAGCGGGGGCACCGACAGATATCTGAAATTAACCGTACATTTTCAGCTAATCAGCCGACGATTACACTATCGAATGAATAATAATAATCAACATTATTTAGCAGAATAATATCCATATTTTTTCCATGATTTTTATCGAACAAAAATTTGGAGTTGATATCATAAAAAACAAATCACCAATTGCGATGCTGGGCATCTGTCTAAATTTCGATATCGGCGTGCATCACCGACTATCTGCGAGTGATGAAAACCAGGCTTTAGGTAGATTTTTATGTATAATTTTGTATTTAATATATTCTCTATATAATTTATATCATATGATATTATAAGTATTTCCGTGGAAGTAGGGTGCTCATTACGATACGTCCGAATTTTCTTGTTATGCTTACCGCTCACACACGCTAACCTGTCTTTTTGATTTATCGTCATAACCTTAGTCAGCAGGGTAACTAGAACAATAATTTGGGGGAGGAGATATTCATATATTCAGTTCCGTCCGACGGATTTCCTTCTAAAGTGCAATAGCTCACAATAAAAATCCGCCAGGCAAAACTGGATATATGGATATTTATATACCCCCATTATCGTTCTAGTTACGCCCCTGATCATAGTTGACGTAATTTTTCTTTTTTACTTACATTAATCTTTTTTAGAAAACACCTCGTTCCATGCAAATTTCACAAATCTTGGAGAATCTGGGCGTCTTGGTCCTGCTTCTCTTGATACTCATTATGCTGGTAAGGACAATGAAAACATGGTCACTGTTAAGAATGGTATTCAGTTCTGGACAGTTCCGCACACAGGTACATACGAAATCACAGCTGTTGGTGCTGCAGGAGGATATCTTAATAAATCCGGATCATCAAGTGCACGAGGTCGAGGAGCCTACATAAGAGGAGAATTTGATCTCAAAAAAGGTGATGTGCTGAAAATCTTGGTAGGACAAGAAGGCATAAAGCCCTCTCAATATAGCACATCAGGAGGTGGAGGAACATTTGTATCCACATCATCAAATGCTCCAATAATCGTCACAGGTGGTGGCGGTGGCACCCAATTTCTAAGCACTCACTTATCAAACTGTGACGCCAGTAAAGCGATGTCTGGAAAAAGTAATGCTTGTGTAGGCAATTGTTCCATCTGGTCAGGTGGTGTCAATGGAAACGGCGCTACACAAATGGACGATAATATTTCTGGTGAGTAAACATTTTTTAAGATCTATATAATCATACGAATGTTTATCATTTTACACCATGGTCGCAGAAGATCCTTGAGTGCATGGGCGGCTAATATTGTTATTTTTGTGTTAGCAGATCCTGAAAACAATCAATTAGAAAATAAACTAATAAGCGAATATTTGAATATTAGCCCATCAGTTAGGCATCTTGCAGTGGCACGCAGTGGCGTAAATAGAACGATAATTGTGGAGGGGCTCGTATTCATATATTATCCAGTTCTGCCCGACGGATTTGTTTTGTAAGTGCAATAATTAATATTCACCCTCTCCCCCCAATCATCATTCTATTGTTACGGCTTCGCGCTGCTTAGACGACCGTCTCGCACGGATGATATCAAGTGTTCTCAATAATACTTGTCGGTGATTTCAGTGCTCACCCGATCTTCTTTATTTTTTTTTAATTAACCAGACCATGAATGTAGTCTTACGCTAGGCGCTTTCTAGCTCTTGAAAACTGAAAATACAAAATTGGATGTCATAAGCCAAGAAAGAATTATTTTCCGTGCTATATGCACATTAGTTAGAATATCGTATCACTACTACGAGGGCGCAGTTTGGCCTACTAAACGTGTAAATTGTAATCTACCACATGGTCACAAACTTCCGCATATACCTTCAAATTACTGGTATTACTTTTAGGGTGACATATTTAGTGCTAATAACATTGAATTAAGAAACCTCTTCAAATTTAATAATGCCGTTTCTTAGGTGGTGGCGGTGGTGGATTTAACAGCAATGGAAGTAACAGTAAATATTATGGATATGGAGGTCAAGGTTTCATCCACGGAGGAGAAGGTGGTATTTCTTTCGATTTTGCAGACGGAGGATTTGGAGGTGGTGGCGGTGGAGGAGGAAAGTTTGATGGAGGAGAATTAGCTAGTGGAGGAGGAGGAGGGTATTCTGGAGGAGCACCTGGTGATAGCACCCAGCAGAGTTCTTGTGGTGGAGGAGGAGGATCTTTCAATAATGGGAAGAATCAATTCAGTAAAGAAGGGTATCGTGCTAGTGGTCATGGTTTTGTTGAGATAAAACGTTTGAGATAAATTACACATGTAGGATGATGAGTTTATAAAATACATCTTACTAAAAAATGTCAAAGATTAATGTATCATCTCCGTATTCTTTTCAAATAGTATTTTAAGAGTCTTATTGAGATATTGACGATACAGCTGCTGTTATACCTATCCTAGAATAAAAAGAATGAGAATGTAAAACTTGGATAAACTTTCATAACTGTTATTCCCCACTGGTAAATTACTGTGCAAAATAATTTACATAGGTCAGTCGCTATATATGGATGTTTACGTAGGAATTTTTTTAACATCTATCTGGAAAATTGGTGCATCTTTTATGATTATTATGTGGAAACGCATAAACTATAATTGAATTAAAACAGTTTAATAAAAGTAATTGTGAGGTTCACGAATAATTATGATTATATCTATTCCTGAGCTTCACAATTACTTTTATTAAACTGATGAAATTATATACCCAACCAAATTTCGTGAATTAGGTCAAATCCAGGACCTGTATATCCCATACAAATTAGATTGATAAAATAATATGCAAACCAATTACAAACACTAGAGGTTGTATCGGAAAAGTACAATTATTACTGTTTGTAACTGATTCGGATATCTATATAATATCAAAACTTTATTTATTACAATACAATACAGCACAATAAAAAAAACTGCCGCTCGAGTTGTTAACATTACATATAAATAGTATGTTCTATTACATACTTAATTGCTTAGTACAATAATTTTGCGTTAGATATAATTGTACTGATTACAAAAAATCATTTTATAGTAGTTTTTAAGATGTTTATTCAAAATTTTGAAATGTTCTCCCCATAACGCCAAATTTAAGAGTTGCTGAACTTGCTGAATATGTTTTCTGCAACATGGCGTTGCCATTTTCATTTATTTTCGCTATTGTACTACATAGGTAACTCGTCTAATCAGTATAATAATTATAAGGCAAAAAAAGTGAAGCGAAAAGCCTCTAAAAAGCTATAGAGCAACACCGCGGAAAAACGTCTGCGCACGCGTCAACTCTGCCTGTAAGTGAGATTACAGTGACCCCTCGCCGGACCTTAATGCAACAACATCATTTCCGAAACAGTGTAAAAATCATATTATATTTAACAAAATAAAGTATTTACAATAAAATATAACAATTTAAAACAGAACAAATTTAATATTAATTTTACATATAACAGTTAAAATAACACTCTCAATATTTGGCTACGTTGACATACAGTGATTTCTCATCGGGTAGTCGAATTGTTGATGTGCTAAACTTACCACAGGATATTCAAAGTTTTTTGAATAGGTTGCCTGCACAAGTGGCTGACTTGCCTGTTATGATTGTGCGAAGGCAGGGTGCTGATGAAACACATAAAGATTTTACAGTTCGTCGACACAGGGTGCTTGAAGCTATATTGTGGTTGAAAACAAACAATCCATTTTTCAAAGATATTGAGATTGACAGGGATATTATCCAAAGTCTACCTGAAAATGGTGTCCCTGAAGAGCTAAGGTATATTATTGAAGACAATGAACTTCCAGTTCATGTTGAAAATGAGGGCCCCCCACAAGAACCTGTAATGAGTGCTAATGCAACAGTTGAAGAATTAGTTTTAGGAAATGGCAGTACATCATTTATTCCTATGCGGCGAAGACAAAGAAAGGATGGTGCAGCTATTCAAGATGCAGTGAATGAGGTTGACCCTTTGGACTGGCCCTCAACTGAAGGTAATGCTTTTAATGAGTTTAAAACAGATGGTTTGGCAAGCATGGCATTTCCCACACTATTTCCCCATGGGAAAGGTGACCCAACAAACAGAGTCAGGCAACATGAGGTAAGTTTGGCAGAGGCATTCAAACACCTGATGAAGTTTGCAGAGAGGCTGCCAAATGGTAAGTTTGAATGGAGGTTTGCCTCACATCCCCGGTTTCCATACTGGGCATTGAATATGAAGCAGAGACATCAGTTGTTGTCACAAGATAACATTTACTTGCGGCAACATCCAGCAGATGCTAACATGACTATGGAGGAGCTGAAGACAATGGTAAACTCGATGAGTGCAAATCAAATGGTAAATCGTTTGCAACGTTATGTTTCAAAAATTCAAGGAACAAATCAGTATTGGTATCAGAGACTACAAGAACTCTTGGCCCTGATTGAACAAAAAGGTTGCTCAAGAACAGAAAGAGCACAAGCAGTGATAGACAATCCACACATGACAGATTGGTTCTTCATGCAAAGGCTACAGGAGTTTATCAAACATTGGCTTCAAGGTGTCTTGGGTGCTGAATGGTTTTGGTATAGGTTTGAATATCAGGCCAGAGGTAGTATACATGCTCATGGATGTGCTAAATTAAAGAATGACCCAGATATCCGGTTATTACGTAAACGTGCATGTCAAGCAGTGCTTGAGAAAGAGAAAGAAAATGAAATGTCCCCTGACGATTTTGAATTCTCTTGCCAGGATATTGTCAGAGAGGGTGAAGATGCGGAAAGAAAGCTAATCAGGTGAATATTTAAATTGTATGTTTAAATTACACTCACATGCATATAAATTGCACAGATTGTGTCCAAGACTTTTTCCCAGACTTTCAGCCTACTGTATATATATATATATATATATATATATATATATATATATATATATATATATATATATAATAGTTTAAATAGCGTACTAATAATACAAATGCCACAATGTTGCAAATATCTAAAAATACAGCTTCCACATACATTTACAAAAAAAAACAAAATTCCGTATATTTTCTTCAGGAATTGCTAATTCCTATTGTTAAGGAATTGGGAGTGTAAACAGCAATTATGAAAAAAATATACAAATTAGGTATTAACCAATTTGTAACTTTTTATCCCTTTTAAAGTTATGTTGACTGGCTTGTGACCACAGTCAATGAACATCGATCTGCCTGATGAGAACTGGAGAGTACCAGATCCACACCCTTCTGCTTGCTGTGAAAGCCACATCAGTTGATAATCGTGACGACGATTATCACAGGTTAGTAAATTCAGTAGAGAGGCACACAAGATGCAGTCCAGCCTACTGCCTGAAAAAGAAGAGGTCTGACCTTCCTGCAGAGTGCAGATTTGGGTTTCCAAAACCATTACAAGAGGAGACTGCACTGATTTATGAAGTTCAAGGTGAGAAAAAAAAATCTGTAAAATCAGAGTTGCAAACCAAGAGAAACGATAAAAGATTGAATTCGCACAACAGGGTCATGCTTGAAATTGGCGGGCCAATGTGGATTTACAGGTAATTGTAGATGAAAAGGCATGTGCAAGATACATGGCCAAGTATGCAGCGAAAGGGGAACCACGATCAAAATCTGCTTCCGATATACTAAAGTTGTCTGCATGGCCAGAAAATTCGGACATAGTTAACATTCTACTTCCGCCTAAATTTGCATATGGTGTCAAAATAAAGCTTCGTGAGTTTATAGTAAACTGTAATGTGCACAGTACTAAACGCTAAAAATACACCTTTAGGTAGGTCGATTATAATTTGCCTTAATTGCTCGTTGCAGAGCAAGTTAATCTTAATATTTTTATATAGTATTTCAAAATGTTTTATCAATATTCGTTCTGCATTTTCAAAACAAAGTTTTGGTCATTTATCACGTTGAATACCATATAAAACGAAAACCGTAATAGCGTAGAAATAAAATAAAAATGCAGAGCCGACATAAACCTTTGCCAGCAAAATATTACCTCAGGATCTTCAATATGACACGAGTTACAAGAAACAACCAGGGCAAATAGCAAAGATGCAATGATTTTCTTAAATTTTGCAAAATTTAAGAATGCGCAATATAATTTATAGTTCTGCAAACGAATAATATTTGAACAGATATGCAAATTTGCTACGGCAATCTGCATATTCCATGTCCGCAATTTCTGGTCATGGTGTCTTCATTACAGAATGATAGCCAAGTGTCTTCTGCAATCAAGAAAGCAATGATCCAAGTTGCTGGCGATAGAGACATGGCTGCTCAAGAGACTGCCCATATGTTACTCAGTTTGCTTCTGGTAGGCTGTACATATAGTTTTGTTACTGTTTCTTTAGAAAACAGCAGAAAAGTGATTCTTGATACAGAAGATGCACAAGAGGAAGTACTTCAGAATTCTGTTCTTCAAGATTATGCAGAGCGAACAAAAGTAGAGAGTAGGTACAAGGGGTTATCTCAGTTGAATTTGATGCAGTATGCATCTCAGTTCACAAAAGTCAGAGGTGAGTTGACAAAACGACTGAATCCTTACATTGTCAGGACATTTCCTAAGGTTACAGCCAATCCTGGCAGCCCAACCTTTGGGAAATACTGCAAGTATCAACTGATTAAGTTTAAACCATGGGAAGGTAAGTCATCAAGTGCATGGGATGATATGGAGGAAACTGATGATGTGTTTATTAACACATATGCTTCATTTCTTCAGACAGATTTTGCTAGAGACAATGTATTTGGGCATTCTATTGAAACAGAAATGGTCCAGGCTGCACAGGCAGATGAAACATATGGAACTGATGAAAACAGTGATGAAAGCGATGACGAACAGGATCAACTTGAAGCGAATGAAGATGAGCAAATCGAGGACTGGATGTTGTTATGTCGTCTCAACCAACATTATGAGGATGCGGGAAATCAAATGGCAAATAATGAGGCAGTGGATTGGTTCGAAGCAGCAAGAGCTGTGCCGGGGGATTTATTGAGAGAATCTCCTGGATGGATTTCGAAACAGAGAAGGGATGCAGAGGAGCAAGGTCTGCAATATCAAACAGGTGACCAACAAGTGGTGGTTGACCCAGGGACTTTGAATGACAAACAGCGACTGGCATTTGACATTATCACTGCATCTATGGCTAATGATGAATGTGATCCACTTCGTATGATTGTAAGTGGTACTGCTGGCACAGGTAAGACATATTTAATTAGTGCCCTAAAGCAGGTATTGCAAGATCAATGTATTGTCACAGCAACCACTGGAATTGCAGCATTCAGATTTTTGGTGGCCAAACTTTGCATTCTGCCGCTCAACTTCCAATTCGAGAATATAGGGATTTACAGGGCGATTCCTTACAGAGATTGCTACTCAGATTGGAAGGTAAGAGATTTCTTATTATTGATGAAATGTCAATGATTGGACATAAGATGCTTTCATGGCTTGACAACAGATTACGTGCAGGTACAGGAAAAGAAGATGTCCCATTTGGTGGCATGTCGATTATCTTAATGGGGGATTTTGGCCAGTTACCTCCTGTAGGCGATAAACCAATGTACATCGCAGGTAATGGTTCCATAATCAGTGACCATGGTCATAGTATGTATTTAACATATGATCATGTAGTCATTTTAGAGCAGGTCATGCGACAGATTGGTGAAGACCCAGAAGTAGTTGCATTCAGGGCGCTATTGATGAGAATGAGAGATGGACAAGTGACCGAGATGGACTGGAAACTATTGATAGAGCACTCCAGACCTAACGTTGCAATGGATCGATTTAATGATGCTATCCGGCTGTACTTTGATAAAAAAGTGTTGCAGAATATAACTACGAGAAGTTACTAGAGATTGGACAACCATTGGTTAAAATTCAAGCAAGGCATTCAGGTCGGGGTGCAAGGGGGTAACATCTGATGAAGCAGGTGGTTTGGAAGCAATCCTCTTTTTGTCAACCAAAGCAGAGGTGATGCTGACATGTAATTTGTGGGCAGAAGTTGGTCTTTGCAATGGCTCTTTCGGAACTGTTGAGCAATTTTGGTTTGCAGAGAATATGGGTCCACCAAATCTACCGATTGCAGTACTGGTCCATTTTCCGGCATATTCTGGTCCTGCATTTTTACAAGAATGTTCAAAGTGTATACCTGTGCCTCCAAGACTGTTTGAGTGGATGGCTGATGGCAAGTATTTGTCAAGACAACAATTGCCCTTGCGGCTGAGGTATGCCATGACAATACACAAGTCCCAAGGACAAACACTAACCAAGGCTGTTGTTGATTTAGGTAAAGGGGAGAGAGTTGCTGGCTGCACGTTTGTGGCAACATCCAGGGTAAGATCGATTCATGATATTGTGTTTGAACCTATGACATTTGATCGTTTGAAAGCCATTGGTAGGAATAAAAGTTTGAAGACTCGACAAGAAGCAGAACGACGACTTCGTGTGCTTGCAGAAGAGACTGAACAGAGGCATAAGCATTGAATATATGCATATAAGGATATGGATTGTATTGTAAGTTGTTATATCCTTTTGTTTAATGATACTGGGCACCAATGTGCTTTCGAGGAAATCATAGTCGCCTGCTACTAGACACAACTTTAGAAGTGAAGTTTGTATGTCTTATTACAACTTTGCCTCTATAATTTTGTTTTTGAGGATGGCAATGTACTGTACATGTGTCATATTGCCTGTTACTAGACATAATATCAGGTATTATGCTTTTGAGGGTGGCTGTTGACATGTACACTATATCAATCAGGTAAGTTACCTATTTACAATAACAATCAATGAAATGAAAACCACAATACCACCGCGCGGGGATATTTTGCGATTTGCCTGGTAACAATAATAAAGTACACGCAAAATTCACGTATAACATAAATTTCAAAAAGAGCGCGAAAATATCCTGCCGATATCCTGCTGTTTTTGGACTGCGGTAAGTCTTTTTCAAAATAAAAAACTTTATAAAATATTAAACATTTCAAAGTTCGCTCGAATAAATTATAATATACTACTCCACAGTCGACAATTTGATTTACCAATTTATGCACAGATATTTTAGGGAGAAACTTCTGTATCCTTTTTATTGCATTTTAAAATTGGCATGTTTTTCCAACGCCCACGCGTATTATCTTTTGTGTTTAACTTTTCTCAATAAACTAATGAAACTATTGTATTTTTTATATATTTTACAGCTACAAAAGTCATAAATATTATTTAAAAATGTAAGTTTGCTATTTTAATACATTTCTTTTCTCAAAAATAACATTTCAGTAGCTATATTGAAGGAATTTTAAGCTTGCCTCGAGTATACAATGTATTTTAACCGTATAGTGCTTTTGAAATTGTATTAAAATATGTTTACTCAATATATTTTTATGTTGATGGCATATAAGATCATCTACAAGGAGAGAAAAAAGTAAGATTCAACCTCTTTTCTACCAGTTTACTAACCACTTTTCTCATGGTTGTAGTGTAATGGTAAAAGTTTTTACTGTTACTGATTTTTCTATGTATTTTAGTGGAAAATGAAGAAGAAGTACTTGGTATGTTTACAGATATAGGCACTTGGCCATATATAAGTATACATAATTTGTGGTAACCTTTTCTTTTCGCACATGACAAACATGCCATATATATGAAAGATAGATTCATTCTCAAAGACATAAATCAATTTAGTGTGGCCTTTATAATACTCTGGCCATATTTATACACATACTGTAGTATAAATTTAGCAAAGTACTAAATATTGATTAAAGATTTTGCCTCTTGCATTTTAGAAATTGAAGTTGATGCAGAGGGTGATGAAGGTAAATAAAAAATATTCAAAGTATTAATCTAATTCATTTGTCGCACTGTTTTCATTTTTTCTCACAACAATGAAGTGTATAATACATTTATATACAAATTTCCCTTCACCATAGATCTAAGAGAAGCAGAGCAACCTGCCGTGGCAGTGGATGGGCCAGGTGAGCAATCCTGTAGCTCCCCCTGCACAACTAAAATACTCTCATTTTATCACAGTAAATCCTGTGCCACCACAATTATATCAACAATGTATGCACAAGTTTACAATATTATTATTGACTTAGCCATATATAAAGAAATATATATTAATATATATATATATATATATATATATTATATATATATATGTGGTATCACATTTTTGTTATCCGGTACAGATTTTCCAATGAGCTAAAAGACCACAACCCAGCTCAACCCAATTGCCTTCCTTCTTTAATTTTACGTACAACCCCCCCCCCCCCCATTTTGTAAAAATGTTGTCCTTGTGGTGGATGCATGAAAATCACATCTATGTATTTTGTTCATTATTGAAAATCACATCTATGTATTTGTGTATTATTGTTTCATTTCAGAAGATCATCCACTCCCCAGACCAAAGGGGAGAGGCTTGCCCCCAGGTATTATTGTATCATTTAATTTTACTGAAATGTAATGTATACCATTTGCTTCCAGATAGCTCAAATTTTTAAAAACTTTTCGTTATCAATTTAATATCCTAATTTACGCGATGTGTCAACCAAGTTTGTTACGTACATTTCAGAACATCATCCGCTCCCTGCTCTTCGGGGAAAAGGCTTGCTCCCAGGTATTAATTTGTATAATTTCATTAGAGTTATTACCTATGTAAACACATTACACTCGATCAATAATGGTTACATTGCAATGATGCTCAAAATGACATCTCCTCTCTTTTAGGTTTCCGTGGACATATTGCAGGTTAATAAAGTTTGATTGACAATGGTCAGTTAATTCACGAATTTACTCAATGGTCAGTTAATTTACGAATTTATAAAACTCAGCGTAATCTAGTTACAAATTTAAAGAGGAAAGCTGTTAAAGATTTTTGTGCTGAAGCTGCTACCACATCGAACTCAACTGTTGGGTTATTTTGGAGAAAAATGAAACCATTACTGCCAAATAATAATCCCAGTAACACAGAAACGAACATACATCTTATAGAGGATGGGAAATTGGTTTCAAATCCTAGCACTATATTTAATGAATTTTTCACTGCCCCCGTAATCAAGGAAACGATTTTGAATATGTCTGAGCAAGATTTTGTGAACCATAGTAGCGTGCAGGCGATCAAAAATCGATCTTTTGATCTCAATTTCTCATTTAAGCATGTTAGTGTAGAGTATGTTGCTGATCTATTGTTAAATCTAAACGAAAAGAAAGCTTGTGGTCCTGATGGTATCACTCAAAAACTGTTGAAAGCTTCGGCACCTGCAATTGCTTTACCTCTTACCAATTTATTCAACTATTGCATTGACAAATGCACCTGGCCGAGTACATGGAAAGAGGGAAATGTTACTCCAGTCTACAAGAAAGACGATACTGTCAAAAAAGTGAACTATAGACCGATTACTGTGCTATCATGCATACCAAAACTTTTTGAGAGAATTAAATATGATCAATTATATGGTTCGTTTTGCCCTATCTTTTCCACTAATATGTCTGGTTTCTTGAGCGGTCACTCGTGTGCAACAGCACTAATTAAATTGGCGGATGACTGTAGAAGAGCTCTCGATCAAAAGAAGGATGTTGGGATTGTGACAATTGATCTGTCCAAAGCCTTTGACTCCATATGTCACAATCTTTTACTAGCTAAGATGAAAGCCTATGGAATGCAAGATCAAGCACTGCAGTTAATGAGATCTTATCTCATTAACAGGAAGCAGAGAGTAAAATGCAATGGAGTCCTGTCGGATTGGCTGATGTTAAAATGTGGTGTGCCCCAAGGGAGTTTATTGGGACCTTTACCATTTAACATCTTTATCAATGATCTCAATTGGCGTGTCAATGATACATCACTGCGACTATATGCTGATGACACTACCCAATATGCATCGGACATATGTCCCGACATACTGGAGTATTCGCTTAATTCCGAACTTCAAGTCTTATCCCACTGGCTTAAGGAAAATTATTTGCAAATAAATATTGGGAAGACAAAGGCAATGATCCTGGGAAAATCTGAGTATTTGTATGATCTGAAACTTGATATTCAAATCATAGAAGTTGAAGAGTCGTTAAAAACCCTTGGCGTGACTTTAGATAAAGAACTAAACTTTAAATTACATATAGATGAAGTTCTGAAAAAATCTTATGGAATGATTGCCGCCTTACGACGTATTAAAAGAATGGTACCGACAAAAACTTTAACGTTATTATATAAAGCCTATGTTGTACCCCATATGGAATATTGCTCTCAACTGTTTATTGGTGTTAATAAAACATCGAGTAAGAAACTTGAAAAAGCCAATGCATTTGGACTGAGAACAGTGATGAACTTAGGTAACAATATCTGTTACGACGAACTCTTGAAATTAGCATCTATGCAAACATTAGAACGTAGAAGACTTGAACAATCTCTAGTTTTGTTCTTCAAGTGTTTTAAGCAGGGAGGGCCTGCATATATTTCGGAGTTATTTAAACTTCGTATATCTCCCTATAATTTAAGGCATAATGGCCTTAATGTTGATCAAGAAAAGTATAATAGTCGTTACTTGCATGACTCATTTAGCTATATTGTAGGACATATTTGGAACAATTTGTCATCGGCTGTTAAATCTGCCTCAACGTTGGCTGAATTTAAAACAGAACTGAAACATTGTGAAATGATTGGGTGTCAATGCCAATCTTGTTTATAATCTCATAACTAATTATTTGATCTTAATTTTAAGCAGTATCAAATATTTTAGTATAGTGTAATATAGATTGTTTAATAGTGTAATATATATTCTTAATCTTTTATTGTATACTATATCTAGGTAAATTTATGTCGTGCACTTTAACCATGAGCCTCTGGCTCGGATGATTGGGCAACCACATCCCGTGCTAACGACTTTAAATAAATCATTACATTACATTACATTACATTAGCCAGAAGACCAATCATTTCTTGATATTCCATCTTAGGGCGTTGCTACAAGTGTGGCGTGCGGGGCCATCGTGCTCACGCCTGCCAATCGCGTATGTATTTAATACCTTATGGATTGCCATGTATTGTATAGTCACGTGAACAATCGCAAAGTGGTGTGATGTTGTAAGCATATAACCTTGACTCTAGGGCTAAACATACCAAGCCCGGTGTGACAGAAAGAATTCTGATCAGAAGGTCTAACCAATTATTTAAACATTGCTAAAGACGCCGCTGGCCATCACAATGTATGAAAATAATATATATAACTAGAAATACATGCATGCAGCAACCCCTCGCTATTTCAAACCAAGTACACAATTTCCTGAGTTAACCTGACCTAAACTTATATTATGAAATGACACAAAACTCAAATCAGTCTTAAAGTTTCCATCATTCAATACAAAAATAATCACAAAGCTAGTGTAAACATTGCCCGTTCAATTTTGCTGCATTATACCATGCCAGCAATTAAGTAACGGTTTAAAATCGAAGTTTCAAACGATTAAAACAGTACAAAATCTTCACAGAAAAAACTTCAAATGTTATTTTGTTCTGTAATTGCAGTCAACGCCGGCGGCTAAAAGTTTCAGTATACTTTATAAATATAGTGTGTATTTTTGATACCAAAATTCAAATTACACTTTCAAAAACACTTTTTGAAGTTAAAGCAAAGGTGTAATAGCCCTTCACAGGTTTATGCGTTTGCAGAAAAAGCTGAAAATTTAAAAAATGAACGGCATACAAAGCTGAAAAGTATACAAATACGGCTCATTCTTACCGCGAAACAAGTACGAGATAAACAAAGTAAACACGTACCCTTTGTCTTTGAAAACATTTATAAGCTTGCAGATTATGAATTATTCCTCTTACACGCCTTTGTTTTGACTGTATCCACGTTCATCTTTGCTATCTGTCATGCTTCATATATCTTGTTTCTTCTTGTTTTACTTTCTTTGCACAAGTTTATGAAACGCTTTTACAAAAATGTTTACGAAATGACAGTTAAATTGCTGACGTTCTCATTGAATTACAAACTTTCTGTCTTAGCCAATCAGAACGTTCGTTGATTACCAGTCTACACTCGTTCGCATTTCACGCATGCGCACAAGTACCATGACCATTGAACGTCCACGGTCCACGACATAGAATTTGAGCAACTTTGGATTCCGCTATGTTCTGTCACAATACCCGGGTGTAATAAATCTCCCAGCGGAATTAGTACCCTCGCACGGCGCTTCGCGCCGGCTCGGGGATGACTTTTTTTTCTTATAGTGACTTTTTTTTCTTATAGGGGCTGTTTGTTGGTTGTGTGGCCAGAGGGGCCACACAAGGGTTGTTTGCCCCCAGCGGCACACTGGGCGCACAACACAAAAACGAGGGCAGCAAAAGCCCTCAATGCAATTTACGAACTGCACGTTTGAGAAGTTTAGTGCTTAAACTTCTCAAACGTGCAGTCTAGGCTACCTTGACATATAATCTGTATACCATCATTGAATATTAACTTTCAACATCACGCATTCTATACACAAGCAAAATTAACATTACGGGTTAAAAGGTGATTCAATCAAACAATTAATGAGATATCAGCGTGTGAAAAATGAGCCAATAATGTTTTCAATCTTAATATCGTTCTCAACAATTCGACTACCCGATGAGAAATCACTGTATGTCAACGTAGCCAAATATTGAGAGTGTTATTTTAACTGTTATATGTAAAATTAATATTAAATTTGTTCTGTTTTAAATTGTTATATTTTATTGTAAATACTTTATTTTGTTAAATATAATATGATTTTTACACTGTTTCGGAAATGATGTTGTTGCATTAAGGTCCGGCGAGGGGTCACTGTAATCTCACTTACAGGCAGAGTTGACGCGTGCGCAGACGTTTTTCCGCGGTGTTGCTCTATAGCTTTTTAGAGGCTTTTCGCTTCACTTTTTTTGCCTTATAATTATTATACTGATTAGACGAGTTACCTATGTAGTACAATAGCGAAAATAAATGAAAATGGCAACGCCATGTTGCAGAAAACATATTCAGCAAGTTCAGCAACTCTTAAATTTGGCGTTATGGGGAGAACATTTCAAAATTTTGAATAAACATCTTAAAAACTACTATAAAATGATTTTTTGTAATCAGTACAATTATATCTAACGCAAAATTATTGTACTAAGCAATTAAGTATGTAATAGAACATACTATTTATATGTAATGTTAACAACTCGAGCGGCAGTTTTTTTTATTGTGCTGTATTGTAAATCAATTAAGAAGCGATTCCGAACGTTTCCGAAGGCTAAAAATAGCGGTAAAAAGGAGTGATTTCATTCGTGTTTTCAAATCCATATTTCGAGGGCATGAATAAACACTGCATTATAGAAACTAAGAAAAAAACGTCCAGAGAGTCCTAGAAGTGACATCCGACAAAAACACTGGTAA